GGAGTTGCCGGATCCCAAAATGACCTCAACGTCCTGGGTCAATCTCCGGTCTTCAACAATGTTTTGGGAGGCCAAGGCCCCAATATCTCTTATCAAGTGAACAATACAGTCTACTAGACGGGGTATTATCTAGTTGACGACATTTACCCAAGGTGGACCACATTTGTCAGATCCATTCCAAATCCCCGATCCCAAAAGTAAAACTTATTTGCTATCTATCAAGAAAGATACAGGAAAGATATTGAAAGATGTTTTGGCATCCTTCAAGCTCGGTGGTTGATTATTTGAGGTGCGGCCCGTATGTTTGATGAGGAGATCCTCAAAAGCATTATGATGACTTGCATCATCCTTCATAATATGATTGTGGAGGATGAGTACGATTATGATGCTTTAGAGGTCTACGAATCGGATCCAATGAACACGGCCTTGACCTGAATTTTTGAAAGACTCATGGGGCCAAATGGAGAACCATTTGAGCTGGAACTGTTGGTGAGGGACAGTCGTTTCATGACCTGGATGATAGATCGATATACAGAGATGCAATCTTCGTATATTCATGAAAGGCGTCAACTTGACTTGATGGAGCATCTATGGGCGGTGAAAGGCAATGAAGATGAATGATGGAGCATAAATGCTTTGGTTATGTTTTATTTAGTTATGGTTTGGTTGTGTTGTTTATTTATTTATTATGGTTTGGTTGTGTTGTTTTTTATTTATTATGCTTTGGTTGTGGTTTTTTTATTATTATTATTGTGCCTTGTTTGTAGTTTTTATTATTATTTTTATTATGTTTTGTTTGATGTATGGAATATGTTGAATAAAAAGGTCTTTTATTGAATGCTTTGTTTATTAAATAAAGAAATCCAATACAAGTCATTAAGAATTACTACTACTAAAATAAAATACATTAAGTACAACAACTTTAATAGAAAACATGAAAAATAAAAATACATAAAAGGTATGCCAACTAATTTAATGGTTTTGATCATTTAACTAATCCGTGTTGCTAGGCCCATCATCCTGGAAAAGTCTTCTTCTCATAACATCCCTTCGTTCTAACTTCCAATATTGTTTTGTTTCAGGGGACATATGACTTGTATCCATCGCCATGGTTTCCCGATCTGTCTTCTCGATGTCTTTTTTGCGCAAATACTCATTTTCTCGTGCACACTCGGCTTGAATTGCCACCTCCATATCTTGGCGTTTCTACTCCATTTCAATTCTTATGGCGTTCTGCCTTGCAATTTCCTCCAAAAATTTTGAATTATTATTGCTTGAATTACCCGCTTTCTTTGCCTTCGCAGCCTTTCGGCCAATGGGCCTCGGCTACTTTTCGATGGGTGAGTCTTCACTTATAGGGGAATCGAGAAGTGAATTCGATGTCGTTGAATCACGGAGTGGCGTCTAGTTTAACACAACGGCGGGACCCGTGAGAATATTTATGAAGTGTTTACAATATTTCACCACCTCCCAAGATTCATGATGGTTGAAACTTTTTTTGCCACCCCCGGTTGCACCGAACCACATCTGTGCTTGAATCATCTATTTAACAAAAAAATGGAAATGTAAGAAATATTTAAAATATATTGGATATGCAAGTAACAAAAAAAAAAAATGGAAATGCAATTAACCTTACAAATAAATTGGAAGTGCAAGAAATATGAAGAAACAATTGGAAATGCAAGAAATATTAACAAAATATTTGAAATGCAAGAAATATTAACAAAATATTGAAAATGCAATAAATATTAACAACATATATATAATAGGACATTAAACTTAATAAAACGAAAATTACAAAATACTTACCTCATTAGTACGATTTTCCCTGCTTCTATAGTTGTTCATCGCTTTTGCCAAGACATCTCTCCATTTTGCCAACTCTTTGTTGAGCCTACTCGACAATGTCATTTCTGTACGAGTCGGCTTCAGAATTTTTTCGTAAAATTCGGCATGAATTTTTTTCCACATATGGAAAAATTTCATCTCATTGCCTGTCACGGGACAATGACAAACTTGGAGCCAAGCCTCACACAAAGAAACATCTTCCATGATGCTCCACGCCCCTCCGGTTTCGATAGAAGAAGCCATAAAAATAATGGTATAAAAATACAAGGTGAAAGAGAGGAAAATGTTGAGTAAAGAGTGAATAAAATGTTGAGTAATAGTAGAAGTAGTATAAAATGTGTGAGGATTGGTATTGAAAGTGAAGGGTATTTATAGGAAAAAAAAAATAGAATTTTTTAGTATTTTTTTAAACAAATTTCAATTTTTTTTCATAATTTTATTGCTGGATGAAGTCTGTAGAAGCAAATCGAAGCACTGGGGGCGTGACACGTGGCTTCCAACCGTTGAAGCTACGTCGCGTTGACGTCAACCCCGCGTGCTCGACGTCAGCCTGACGTCGAGCGTGATGTCACCCCCCGCGTTTTGGACCTCGGGCTGAAGTTGCCTTCGGGTCAGACCGAGTTGATGGGTCCCACACCTCCCCCGGCCCTGGACTGACCGCTGAAAACATCTTTTTTTTTTTTTTTTCTCCCCTAACCTCAGGCTAAACTGACCACTGGACTTGCTCTAAGGGCAAATGAGTGGAGTTGTTCTAAGAGCTTCAAGCCAAAGGCAAATACAAATATTCATTGAATTCAACCTTTGCAAGGAATAATGTGAAAAGAAAAGTCATTCGACCATGGTTAGAAAAATGACGTCGTCCTGAGTTAAATTAACCACTTTTCTCTCCCTCTCTATCCGGTTGGATATTAGCTGTCAAATAAAACTCAATATTAAAAAAAAACCAAAAACAAAAAAAACAAAAAAAACATTTTAAAAACAAAATTTTTAACTTTATAAAACACTTTCGAAGGCCTTCACTTCTCCCTTCTCTCCCCCAGTTTTCACACTCTCAGCTTCTCTGCTTTCTCTCTCTTTTTTCTGTGTGCCTCTGGCCAAGCTCTCTTTCTCTCTCTCGCTCTCTCTCTCTCTCTCTCTCTCTCTCTCTCTCTCTCACTCTCTCTTTCTCTCCCACCTTTTCAGCTTCTGTTACTTGGTCATAGTAATTGATCTCTTTCGGTCCTCAATTTCAGTAATTTCACTGAAATCCCATGTTGGTGGATTGAAGTTATTCACTGATTCTTTTGACTTCTGGAAAATTTCTGGTGAATTCCAGTGCTACTAGTTTGATTATTGTGTAAAGTTTCATACTTTACAAAGTAAAATCCAAAAAGGTTAGATTTAGAAAAAGGCAACTGACAGAGAGAGGGATAGAGAGGCTCTTTTTGAGTAACTGGGTCACTTTTCTCTATCACTTTAAACGCGGGTTTGGTGGTTTTTGTGATTTTGGAGGTGGGTTTTCAAGACTTTGGCTTAAGCTTTAAAATATGATTGTTAGCTCTCTCTGCAATGCAGGCGCTAGGTTCTCGGTGAGTTCATAAAAGCTTCATATAATTTTCTTTTCAACTTTTGCTCATATTCTTCCACATATACCATTGATCATAGCAATTTTTGGTGAACATATATATATGTTACAAATTGTGTTCTCTACTCATAAAATTCTGAACATCTTGTGAGTTTTTTGGAGTGTCAATACGTATTATATAAATGTGTATTTGGTATTAATAATTATGATATACTCTGTGATATTATTAAAGAGGTGGGAAGATTGTGTACGCCAATTAGATATGCTCATGTTTCAATTCATGCATAGTATATAAATTTGTTGTCTGGGCCCACCAAAAGTCATTCAATAATTTCAGCTTGTTCCGATTACACTCGTAGAAGCTAATCTATGATTCTGATCTTGTGCTTTATTATTATTATTATTATTATTTTATTTTATTTTTATCATTTACTAACACGCCATTCAATTTTAAGCGTGGTTGATTTATGTCTTTGGATTAATGAAATCACGGACCTTTGGTCCATTCTAAAGGACTTTGAGTTTTGATTTGTATAATATAATGCATTATTTGCTTGTATTATATATTTATTAGTTTAATATAAGTAGGTGATTGTGTTTTTCATTGTACGATGGAGCTGTTGTCTCTTTGTGAGTTTACAAGTTTTAATAATTTGTTATATACGCTAGCACCAATGGACTGTATATATTATATTTTGTTTTGTGTGTCGAACTGAGGGTAAACCACTGACCGAAACAGTGCATGTTTTGTTTATAATATAAACATTAATAATGCAGTGATGTATTTGCATGCTGTCGTGTATTGCTTATATAAAACTTGATTATTTTAAGGTATACATTGAATGGCATTAAGCTTGTTCATGGAAAAAATTCGCCGTGTTCCTAGATGCTTCGGTTATCAAAATAAAACTTGTCGGACGGTCAACTGTAATCTTCTATTTTTGGCTTTTCTAACATTACCGCACGGGTGCCTTCCTGCAGCTTCTACCCATGTGCATGATTTCCTGTGTTCTGTAAGACTTGTGTGAAACCTTGTGCATTCATGTGCTTCGTAGGAGGTAAAGGATAAACCAGCATCCAAGAAAGCTTCACGCATATTGCTTTGAGACAAAAAGAAATAAGAGTTTTTCTGTAGTTAGGATGTCACTAAGTATTAGCTCATTTTGCATATAGTATATTCGTTTTGTTTCCTAGTGTCGTGGGAATAGTAGAGCATCTGTGTTCATAAATCCTGTCACAAGAGGCCTACTGTTTGGAGAATATGTTTTGTCTGGAATAGATCTGTAGTGAGTATTAAAAAACTGACACATAATAAGTTCCTGTTCCTGTTAGGTAATTTATTTAATGTGTTAGGAACTTAACATCAATTGTTTTTTTGCTACCCTCCTTTTTAGCTAAGATTCCTTCAAGAGTAAAACATTATGACGAACATGTACAATAATTATAACCAAACAAGAAGGATGATTGACCTTTCTGGACTGCTTGCTACACATTGTACCATCAAGGGAAATACTTGAAGTTCTGGATGTATTCATCTTATATTGGGACTTGTGAAAGTGTTAGGTTAACATTGATTATTGGGTGTGTATTTCTGCTAATGCTTGTCTAATCTTACAAATAGTGATTCTTCTTTCTATGTTAACCTAGGGGGAAGAAGGGATAGATGTAAGAAACATGACAGAACACAAAAGAAGCCCCTGCTCTGTTGATCAAAGCAGTTTTACTTCTCTTGCATCCAAACGACATAAGACTGATTTATCCATCTCCACAAAGGTTTCTTTTCCTTCTTTCCCTCCTTTTAATTTTTCAGTTTGCATCCTCATTTATTTGATGTGTGTGTGTGTGTGTGTGTGTGTGTGTGTGTGTATGTGGGTTTTGACTTCTCTTGCATCCAGCTGACATAAGACTGATTTATCCATCTCCACAAAAGTTTCTTTTCCTGGTTCTCAAATTTTTTGTTATTAGGGTATGGACCTTAATTATATCTTAGATTCAATGGGGTCTCTAGGATGTTTCTTCTAAACATTGACGAGAGCTGTCTTTTGATATCTGTCTCTCAAGAAATTTATGATTTGTAAAACTTAGGTTTGCACTGGTGTGACTCAATCTTGTTCCTCTTGTTTAATTGGTATTTGGAACTTGAATCAAACACTTGTTTAAATTTTGGTATGTGCGTGTGTTAATTGGTATTTGGGAGGCACTCAAACACTTGTTTAAATTTTGGAACTTGAAGCTCTTAGGTATTAGAATTGTTTTCTGATCTCTATAAAATATGCTTTCAAGTGCTCCATTACCTTTATTAATATCCATGGAAAAGAAAAATGCAACTATCTCATAACAATAGTTTATTTATTCAAAGCTGATATAGTTAGAAATTGCTTGACTTTTTTATTTTTTCTTATTTATATATATATATATATATAATTATAAGATGCTTGAAAATGGCATGTTCTGTACGTTTCAGTAGCAGCTCTAAAATTCACACTTGTGTAGTTACCATTGTGTGGTAGCAATTCAATTCCTAAAGAAACTGGGGTTTTTACCTCGAGGGCTGTAGTTTGCTAGGGATATCTATTGCGAGCTACTTATGTTTTTAATTTTTTTTGTTCTGCTCGTAGGAGAGGAAAGAGAAGCTTGGTGAACGGATTGTAGCTTTGCAACAGCTTGTTTCACCATATGGAAAGGTACACAGAACAAATTAATCCTTTTCCTTAATTGCAAAACTGTTGAAGAATGATCTACAATGGTGGCATTACGACATTAATGGTTTCCTATTAAATCATCTCATGGAATTTGTGGTGTTTAGAATTCTTGGGTCCACCCATCATGCACTTCAGGCATCACCACAAAGTGAATATCATCTGATAGAGATTGCTTATGCTATATTTAGTGTAGATAGGTTTCCAATGCCAACAGTTTATTCCTAGAAAAAAAAAGTTGTTTATATATTCTCTGTGTGTCTAAAGTCCTATTATTGTACTGCACTGCAGACAGACACAGCTTCAGTTCTGCTGGAGGCAATGGATTACATACGCTTCCTTCATGAACAAGTTAAGGTTAGCCTTTTCATTCTTCTTATAAGTGAACACCTTCCCTAGTACCCAACTTCATAACTGGTAACCTGTTATTACATAGACTGGATTTTGTTATATGGTATTTGCCAACTTCAGATGTAATCTGGTATAAGACATAATTCCGCATGGTTGATATTGTGATATGAATGACACACTTCCTTTTTAAAGATTGCCTCTAAGTGAAAATAAGAACAGTCAAGATACGTTTTATTTTTTATTTTTTGTTTCTTTGGCCTGTAAGATATTTGTTTTTTTGTTCTGCAAAAACAATCAAGATGAGTAACTTCAATCTTGCCTTGTTTGTATTATTTGAGTAATGAGAAGTGATAGGGCTTGCTGTTCAAAACTAATGATGCAAATATTTGAAATGTTTTACTTTTGAGAGATGCGTCCTCTGTATAAACTGCTTGATAAGGTTGATTTGACTTTCTTGCTGGTGGATTTAGGTGTTGAGCGCTCCATACCTTGAAAGCACACCAACAGCTAAGATGCAGGTGAGCTTGAGCTGGATGTAGACATAAGCAAGAGCAAAATGTCAATGATATTTCAGAGTTTGTTTGGAGAACTGATGAATTACATTAATTGAATGTAACCATGTCGTAATGAAGACATCACTAAGCTGCCATGTCCTACGTGTGTTGTTGGATAAAAAGCAAAGTGATGTGACCTAGTGTGCATGGGTCAAAGATGCCCCTCTTTTCACACATTAGTACCATTTAATTTGGCATAATTGGTTTAAATTTACGGTGAAAATGTAATGCGGTTCATTAATTTTCTTTCATCAGGAATTAGAGCCATACAGCTTGAGAAGCAGAGGTCTGTGCCTTGTTCCTGTCTCTTGTACTGCCGGAGTTGCTCAAAGTAATGGTGCAGATATCTGGGCCCCCATTAAGAATACTTCCCCCAAGTTTGAGAACGCAATCTCACAATTCCATTGATACAGATCAATGCTCAGCTACCAAAATGGTCTTGAAGATGCATGCCAGATTGAGGCGGTGTAAAGGGTAACCAATTTCGTTTCTAAAGCACAACCCATTTTTTGTGAGGCAGATTCGGATTCAGTAACAGAAATTTTTAGCATGACGCCCTTCAATGTAATTCCGTGATTGAATTTTGTCATGCTTGAACTCCATCTAATGCAGGCCCCAACCATTCTGGTTTTTAACTGGTGGTGGGATAAGCTTCTAGTACGGTACTTCGATTGTATACTTAAATGAATCTACAAAATGTATATTTATAAACTTGTGTTGTACAATGATTCTGACCATGAATTAATGAATGTATGGTGGGGAATATGATGGTATGATTTATAGCGTATGCCTTCTCAATTGCGTTTTAATGGGCCTTAAGATCTATTGCAACTTACCTTGAACTTGGCTCTGCTCTCGGAGAGGGAGAGAAGTCCTTCCTCGCGCATTGGCGCAATCTTTCATGTTAGCATTAAGTAAACGTGATCAGGCTGTGTCTGATGGTGCTTTTGGCAACTCGGCAAGAAGCCTTGAAAATTTTGGCCTGTCTACGATAGGGTTGGAAAGTTATAGATCAGGTCTATGCCACCCTGACATACTACCAAGGCTAAGCTTATATTAGAAGTTTTAAATTCCTCAATTATCATTGCATTATCGAATTAACACATTAGTTAAATATATGCAAATTCCTACATATTTATATTGGTTGGGTATGGGTTAAAATAATTTTTGCTTGTTAGATAATCTTCTATTATATTATATAAAACTGACCAAATGACTCATCCCACCATATTATGATGTTGGCTAAGTTTTGAGCTCGATCTGAAATCAATTGGTCAAAGATGTTTGTCGCTTCAAGTTCGTATCAAGTTTGTACAGTAAATGTAATGGTTGGAAGATTGCATAGTTTTAGTGATTGGATTTCTCTAAAACAATGCAATCTTCCAACCACTCCATTTGCGGTACGAACTTCTTATGAACTTAAAGTGGCCAACTTCTGTGACCAATTGATTTAGGATTGAGCCTAAAACTTGGGCAACATGATAATCTGTCATGACTATCTAAGTTAAATAGAACTGTTTTGGATAATATATTGAATTGGAATTGCAATGCAATTCAGTTATTTTATAAAACAATACCTTGTGTCACATTATTAGGAAATGCGCAGCTCATGTCAAATCCCTAATGTTACTAATGATCCTATAATTCTTATGAATGAGATTAGAAAGTTCTTTTCATAATCCTATTTAATACTTTGGCTAAAGATTTCTTGAATAATATTTTTACAGTATTGTCACTTTTTATTAAAAATAGAGATCTCTTGTTGTACATTCATATGTCTCTCTATGAACTAATTGAGAATCCCGATAATGCCTTCGAGTCATATATCTTGATATAAGCGTATAACATTCTCAAAGACAAGCTACGTGTTCGTAAGACAATAATGACGTCTCAAGTTTGAGTACTAACTTGCATTAATTGCAACTTAGAATTTTTATTTGACATGTGACTAAAATTTCCATTCAAGAATTATTGGTCGATCGCGTTTAGTGGACTCAATCCCCATTGAACACCTACACACTTATCTTAGTGTCTTTACGTGAATGAATTGGGACTAATCACCCTATTGATTGAGCAAACATAGTGTGTACCAATCTTTATGGATTAAGACCGAACTAATGTAGAACATATGGCTGAACAGATTGAGGAGCAACTGTACAAGCGAATGCATCGTCGAAGTAGGACAATCCAGTCCATGCAGATTTGGGCTTCGATCTCATAATTAGGCTCATGACCTGTCGTTTTGAAGAGAACGACAAGCACTTCTTTACGGTTACATATTTTTGGCCAAATTCCAACATTTTCTTTGTCTTTACAGCATTTTAAGTTTCAAGGATAATTTGAGAATTTTGTTCATTTCCATTTTTACTTCCAATTAGGGTTTCCTAGCAAGCCTAGGATTGTTAAGTATACAAGGGACACATTAGCGTGTCTTTGGATTATTATTCATATTTTGATTCAATAAAACTTGAGGTATTACTTAAACTCCTGATGGAATCCAAATTACTGGTGAATTCCGAAGTTGTCGTTAAGAGTTATCATTTGATTTCCTTCCTCTTTATTACATTATGCCATTAGATGTATTCTTTCTAAAGCATTGACAGAGACTGTATATCGTGTTAGCTTTAGTTTGATGCTTATAACAAAGTTTTTTTCACATTTATTATTTATTCTTATAACAAGAACACAACTATAAAACTATTTCAACCATATTTCACTGACTGGGCGGCTCAATATAAAGGTGCCACTAGCGTATGATTAAGTGAACATGGGATGGGCGGGTCTAGTCCAGTAGAAAAGGGCATTGCCTTGCAAATAAGAGATCTCAAGTTCAAATTCCCACAACATCATAGTTGTGTGTGCGAGAAATCTCCCTTATAGTTTAGATTGTCGCTTGTACTTAAAAAAAAAAAAAGTGAACATGAGATGGATGATTAAAGCATTTATAGAATTTTAAATTCCATATGTTCAGGTTGTATCTTTTTAAATTCCATGCTTAGCAAGAAATTTTTACCAACATTAACTTCCATTTTGAAATTCTTTTGTACTTTTATTCTTAATGGCCCTGAAAGCCTAAACTACCCCATGTCCCACACACAATAATCCAAGCATGATTTTTCTTTCACAGGGCCTGATGGGAAAACCATAATATTGAAATCCACCCAAAATTAAAGCCTTAATCGTCAAAATAAAACACCATGTACCACACACGATAATCCAAGCACGATTTTAAATTAATCGTCAAAATGAAATTTAAAAAAAAAAAGAAAAAAGAAAAAGAGAGACCCATGAGGTTAAGGAGATGATCGACTTGATTTAAAACCCCATAAGAAAGAACTTGATTTAAAGATGATAGGAATTAGGAGTTGGAGCCAAAACTGTTTTGGATAGTTAGTTAGCCACATGTCAAGTGTTAGTTGGGGAATCTGTTACAATTACTGTTGTATCCTTGACGGTGGCTTTATTACCAATTTGGGGAGCCATTGTACGTATTGTTGAGAAATATTCAGAAACATTCTTTGGGTTCTCTCTGTTCTTGGTTAATATCTAAGGTTGAAAGATAGAGTCCTATCATTGGTATCAGGCCATTGATCCTCTAAGCTGTTCCTTTAGTATATGACCCGTGCTCGTGTTCGTACTCGTGCTTTAACAATGGACGCTCATGTTGCTGCGCTGGAAGCCTCTAATTCCAAAAACCAAGTCATTTTGGAAACAATTCAGCATCTTCTTGAGGATAAGTTTGCATCCATCGACAAACGCCTCGATTCAATTGATTCTCGTCGTGAGGGTTTTGATCAGCCATTCCCGCCTCCATCTGATAACGACGACGGTGACGGCTCTCGGCGGCGCGGAGAGAGGGATCACCGAGAGAAAGGGGTTTTTCTTCTGAGAATCGTATGCCCTTTGTTAAGATCGGATTTCCCAGATTCAGCGATGGGGATGATCCAATTGAATGGATTTACAAGGCGGAGTAGTATTTTGATTACTTTTCGATGCCTTCTGAGAAAAAGGTAAAAATGGTTTCTTTCCATCTGGATAGTGAGGCTCTGCAATGGTATCAATGGGAGGAATGTGCTTCTTCTTTGTCCAAATGGGAAGATTTTACCAGGGCATTTTGCAGAGAATTTGGCTCTCATGGGTTTGAGGATTTTGCAGAGTCACTTTTTAAGCTTCGTCAAACAGGTCCCTTAAAGGATTATATCGCTGAGTTTCGACGATTGGCAACTCGAATCTGTGATCTTAGTCCTACTTTTCAATTGAGCTGTTTCGTTGGAGGATTAAAGAAAGAACTCAAGCATGATGTCAAGCTGCTTCGTCCTACTACAATTCATGAGGCCATGAATTTTGCTCATGAAGTGGATGCTAAACTTCAAAAGTTGAGGTTTGCACATTCTGCTGGAATTTTTAAGTCAAGATTGCCTTTTTTACCCATTCAAAATGATTTAGTTCCTGCTAAAAATGAAGTTGTTCCTAGGAAGGATATGCCTGTCAAGAAATTAACCCCAGAAGAAATCCAATATAAACGGAAGAATAATCTTTGTTTTTATTGTGATGAAAAATTTGTGAGGGGTCATAAGCGTGCAAGGAAACAAAACTTGTTGTTGGATATGGGTTATAATAGTTTTGAGGAAGAGGAAATAGTTCATGAATTACAACGATTGAACAAGTGGCTGAGGTGAATGCTTGTTGTATCACAGCTTGTGCTTTGTATGGTACTCCGACTCCTCTTGCTATTAAGACTACGAAACTCACTGCTATAATTAAAAACTGTCCTGTTGTGGTATTGTTAGACTCTGGAAGTTCTCATAATTTCATCAATATTGGCATGGTTAAGAAGTTGGGTTGGAAGTTAGATCAGTCTCATATTTGTGATGTCATGATAGCTGATGATGGACAAGTTCAGAGTAAGGGTTGTTGTGCTGCGGTTCCTTTAGCCATCGGGACTTATGTATATACCTCTAATATGTTCGCTTTGCCATTGGGAGGCTGTGACATTGTGTTAGGGGTTCAGTGGTTGAGAACTCTTGGTCCAATCTTGTGGGACTTTGAGAGATTAACTATGAAGTTTTGGCATGGGAATGAGCAAATTTGTTTGTCCAGTTCTAAGCCTCAGCCTCCACAGCCTATATCTTGTCAACATATGGACAAGTTGTTGCATTCAGGTTGTTATGGTGTGATTCTCTGTGTTGTAGAATGTGAAAATATGGCCAAACCCGTAGATGATTTATCCTCACCACAATAGCATGAATTGAAAGCCTTATTGGATTCTTTTTCTGCTGTCTTTGGCACCCCAACTACACTACCTCCTGTGAGAGAACATGATCATCGGATCCCACTAATTTCTGGTTGTAAACCACCAAGCATTAGACCATATGCTTATGGACCACTTCAAAAGTCAGAAATTGAAAAGTGTGTCAAGGAGCTGCTGGACTCTGGATTTATAAGGAACAGTCATAGTCCTTTTTCTTCTCCTGTTTTGTTGGTCAAGAAGAAGGATAGCACATGAAGAATGTGCATGGATTACAGACAGTTAAACGAGTTAACTATAAATGATAAATATCCAATTCCACTTATTGATGATCTGTTGGATGAATTGCATGGGGCAAAGTATTTTTCCAAATTGGACTTGAGAAGTGGCTATCATCATATCAGAGTTCATCCAGAAGATATTGAAAAAACAGCTTTTCGGACTCACGAGGGACATTATGAATTCCTTGTTATGCCCTTTGGTTTGACAAATGCCCCTGCCACATTTCAAGGTTTGATGAATGAGATTTTCCGGAAT